GTTGGCACCAATCACGGTACCCTACCATGGGGAAATTGGGAAATAATCCCAACGAATCGTAGGAATCTCCCGACTCGAAAGGCACTATCCGATGCAAATGCACGGGAAAATGCCGAAATGCCCGCTGTGCATGTGTCAAAGCGGGCCAATTGTGTGGCATCGAGTGCAAGTGTTCCCACTGCGCCAACCCATTCGTCCCCATGCATGCTGTACGTCGACATAAAACGATATATATATATTGTTTGTTTTGTCTGTATCGATTGAATATAGATTTATATATATATATATATTGTTTGTTTTGTCTGTATCCATTGAATATAGATTTATGTACAAATATATATATATATAAGTGTGGGAACCGTGTTGATCAGATATAATATGGCCTGAGAGCATTATATATATATATGACCTTGAACGTTGTACGCGTGCTCCTGCACCCATTGGCATTGATCTTGGACTTTGTATGGTATAGTGGGGCATTGATATTTCGAAAATCATGACGGACAAGTGCCTGATGCAGAATTTCAGCCGCATCAAAGACATGGACGAAGTGCTGGTGTCGCTGGTAGATTTGGAATGCCCATGCGGTGCACCTACGGTAGGTGTAACTTCCGTGCTCTATACTAGTAGTAGTGTATGGGTGCATTGCACCTACATATTTAGTGAAATGACTTGCACCTACATATTTGGCGAAGTGACATTATAGAGTCATTTCGCCAAATATGTAGCATTCAAGTCCATTTGATCTCATTGAAGCTTGTACAAACTATTTTGGACAAATATGAATATATATATATATATATATATATATATATATATATATATATATATGGATTTGAGGGACGAATATTTTATTTTTTTCTTCTAAATGATATCCTGTTGAGTTCTTTCATCCAAGACATTCTCCAGTTTCGAAGACTCGATGTTTGACAATACATACATACACCCATACAAAAGTCCAGTGGATAATATTATGTACAATACATACATACACCCATACAAAACTCCAGTGGATAATATTTTGTACAATACATACATACATACACCCATACAAAACTCCAGTGGATAATATGATGTACATGTCGACATAGGTACAAGTTCCAGTGTACACGACACTGCTGCACCCAACCAAAACCAACAATATCCACCACGACGACTCGGTCTATTTGTTTCCGATTTCGTGTTTGAAATGCCCAAATATATTTCATTATTCGTGGTGCACGGGCAAATTGTGGTGGAATAAACAACCGCGCAAGCATTGCGAGATTTGCAAACGGTGTGGCAGCCACCGAAACCAGCATTGCCCGGGTGGGTATATATTTTAAATATATTTTAAATGGATTTTAAATTCAAAACCACCCTAACCATACGATAGATTGCGGGCACTGCTACTTTGCCGGCGTAGCAAACAGCTTTGCTTGTCCTTGTAAACAAACCCCAGCAAGCGGAGGTGGGCTGCCGGCGGTACGATGTGTTATTGGATATAGTAATATTTTTTTAAAAATTAATATTTTGTAATAATTTTTTTTACCACTATCTATAGACCCTGCTTTAAAATACTTTATTTTAGGTTCTATAGCTATATTCAAGAGTGTTTGTATATCGTTGCAGGAATATATATATATATTATTATAAATTCCACGTTGGTTTCGAATATATTTATTTAAAATATTATTTGTTTGAAAAAATTCAAAGGTTTTGGTAGCCACAAATTAGAGTGTTTTGTACTGGCTTAATGTCCAGTGTCTCACGAATGAATGATTATATATACAAATTCGACGTTGAAGCAGAAATTCGAGGGTTTTGATTGGTCCGTTGATTCTGTGTTTTGATTGGTGGACAAACTGCCTACTATTCATCCTATCATTTGTTTACTGTAGTAGTGTTCATAACTGTTTGACACTTAGGTCCTGGGCGACGCGCCGTCAGACTTACGCAAGCCATCGCAGCACGAGCAGCAGCAACACCTGTCTCCTCCCGCCACCAGTCCATTGTTCCACGAAGAAAGCGACAAAGATAAGACCGAGCAGTGCCCCGTCCAATAAGACCGACCTTATTAAAACTGGCATAAGACCCAGCTTAAAACACAAACCACAAGACTAGAGCAAGAAACCCGACTGGCAGCGTTGAGCAGACTGGGGGTGCACACGGCCAAAGCCTCCAACTTATCCGCTGTGAACGCGTTATCTCGGAATGGCGAGCCTGGAAACGGGGCGCGGTAGTATTGGAGCACGCCGGCCTAGGAGCGTGCCACGTATTAGGCTTGAATAAAGTATGATGGCATCATCTACCATGTTGGCACTGGTGCTGATTTCGGCAGTGTACCCGTCAACGTATTGCGGTTGCCCACAGCGCCACAAGTCTTTGGGTTGCTACAGATACTACGATTCAAATCATGCGATACTTTCTGTATGGACTCGATCGATCCATGGCTAGTATTACTACTACTACTACTACTAGTACTAGCTAGTACTTGTAGTCGTACCATGCACGCTTTGAAGAAGTTTTCGCACACGCTGCGACAGAGTACCAAACTTCGACCGGCGTCGTCGCATCGGGGAAAGTTAAGCCAGCACATGTAGTTCCGAAAGGCGTCCTGACAGTCCTTGTTCTCGGTGTACCGCGGAACGATCTCGCCAAGACCCCCCCACTCGTCCACACCTGGACGACGACATGAGAATGAACATGAGAGGAACGGAATGTGGACCTGCGCTCTGCATCGCCACGTCAGCTTCATACAACTGCCGCTGGACAACGATCTTCTTGAACATCTGCGCGAGGAACAGATCCTTGGACTTGACGCTGTGGTTGTACCATAACGTTTGTGCGCGAGGCACGCACGTTGTGTATGGAAGGATGGGGCCGCAGAACGGCATGTACTGTAGGAAGTCAGATTGTTCCTTGCATTCCCCTGTGTCCGATCCGAAGATGCGGCAGCACCACGCGATCTGTGCTGTGGACATCCAGAGAAGCATCATGGACTTCATGATGATCCACATCGAAACGTCGCAATTCTAAAATCCAAATGTACAAAATGGTGAATATTTACGAAATTTTATCAAATTTATGCTCAATATGACCAATATTATCATTTTGATTGGTCATTAATCCACCAATCAAGTTGCCCACTTCTGATTTTTGAAAGCAGCAACAACATGAGGAACGAGCTGGCAACCTGGACGGCGCAATTGGCGGCGGCGCGAGAAGCTCTAAGCATCAGAGGACTCTCGCATGCTGCTTCCTTCGCATGCGAGCTGTATGCGTCCTTGCCCTTGTCTGTGCGGGAGAATGCGTCGTCGGTGCAGGTTCCATCAAGTCCTCGATCGATGCCCGTGTTCGACCTTTCTTGTAGGTGGATCATTCCGCGGCCCCGTCCGATGGACTGCTGTTGCTGGCGAAATCGTACATGGACTTGCAAGAATACGCTCGTGCGAGTCATGTTCTAGGTCAGAAGCAGGGGGCGCTGACCGACGTTGAATTCTTTGTCTTGCATTACGCTCGGTACCTCGTACGCACACATCCCGACAACTCTTTCTCGTTCGTCGCGTCAAAAACCATGTATATATGTATATGTGTATGCCCTCTAGGCAGGCGAACGACGCAAGGAACAGCTGAGCATGGAGATGAAGACGCACTCTGGTTGGATCATCTTGACCTTTGCAGCGAGCTTCCTCTTCACATATCATATACCATCGCATGTAGGAGCATCCCAGAAACAGACGACGTCGAATCCACACTTAAAGGACTTGCTTCGAGATTTGGCCGACGCCGATGCCAGCCCCAACCAACTCGATGCGTTTGGGTTGTACCTGTATGCTGTAGTGCTCAAACAAGCTGGATTTGAACACACGTACGTACGAGTGACTGCGTGGCACATTCAAAATGGACGTTATGTCCATGCGTCGTCGCGTGTATTTCGATCCATTTGTTTGAGAACCCACGTATATATATATATCTGTAGCACCGTCCACGCGCTGTACGTCCAGCTATTGCAGCGTTCATTGGCCTTGTTCCCGTGGAATTGGTCGGCATGGATGGAATTAGCGGCGACATCGAACGATGGCTCCTCGACGAATCATCAGGGGGTACGTCGTTTATATTGTGAATGTGTTTGTTTACATTTAAAACCTATTTCAAACACATTTAAAATACAACCACGGGAGAGAACCATGTGTGTTTGGCGTTTGTTTTCGTGGGTATAAACACGTTGTATTTGGTTTGTATATGGATCAGGTTAGAATAATATATATATATATATATTTGTATGTATATACATATATATATAAATATTTATGTATATTTGTATGTGTATATATATAAATATT